ATGCACCCAGGAGGTCATCCACATCCCTTGCCATACCCGGCCAGAAGAAATCCAGCTGGAGCACGGCAAGGGTCTTGTGGGTCCCCAGGTGCAAAAGTCGCTCGTGTGCGGCCCAAACGGCCTTACCCCGCAAAGCGGATGGCACCACAAGCCTGTGACGGCAGGCCCTCCCATCCCAATGCATTAGGAGCCCCTGGAGCAGCCCGTATGAATCAATCCCCGCGACCCCCCGCACGGAACCCCCTGCGCGACGACGCAACGCGAGGAGGGATGCGTCCTCCATCTGGAGGCGCCCCCATTCAGCAACGGACAACCCCAGCAAGGAGTCCGCACCTCCCTCCCCGACAGGACCCTCAGGCAAGGGGTCCTCAGTGGCAGCAGCGAGAACCGGGATATCTAAGGGGGGGCTATCCTCTGGCGGCTTACAACGCCCCGATCCCCTGAGACAAGCGCAATCTGAGGCGGGCGGCAGGCGAGACAGCGCATCCGCATTAGTGTGCCGAGCACCCTTCCGATATGTGGTCGTGAAATCATAATCCTGAAGGATTTCGAGCCATCGGGACAATTGCCCCGAAGGCTGTGTCACCCGCAAGGCATATTGTAATGCCGCATGGTCCGTACGGACAGTGAAATGCCGACCGTACAGGTATGGGCGATACTGTTGCATAAAAAATACAATAGCCAAGAGTTCCCGACGCGTGACGCAGTATCTCTGTTCCGCCGGAGACAAAACCCTACTGCCATAAGCCACGACGCGTTCCACACCACAGATCACCTGTGAGAGCACACCCCCAATGCCCGTATTGCTGGCGTCTGTATCGAGCAGGAAGGGTTCCGAAAAATCGGGGTAGCTCAATGGAGGGGCCCGCACGAGAGCGTCGCGAAGGGAACAAAAAGCGACCTCCTCCTCCTGGCCCCAGTGAAATTTCACTCCCTTCGCCGTCAGAGCGTGTAAGGGCTTAGCAATGGTCGCGAAATCCGCGACGAACCGCCGGTAATAAGACGCAAATCCAATGAAACTCCTGACCTCAGCCACCGAGGTGGGGGTTGGCCAGGAGTTGACACACTGCGTCTTTGCGGGATCGGTGGATATGCCCGAGCGGCTGACGATGTGCCCCAAATAGCGTACGGATTCCCGTAGCAGGTGGCACTTTTGCGGCTTAAATTTCAAATTCGCAGCACGCATTTTGAGGAACACGGCGCGCAAGCGCAAAAGGTGTTCGTCAAATGTCTTGCTGAACACGATGACGTCATCCAGATAGATCAAACAGACGTTCCACTGTAAGCCAGCCAAAACCAGTTCCATAAGGCGCTGAAATGTCGCCGGAGCGGAGTGTAATCCCATAGGTAACCGGTTAAATTGGAATAGGCCGTGTGGTGTGCGAAACGCAGTCTTTGGCTTGGACTCATCATCCAATGGGAGTTGCCAAAATCCGGATAACAAGTCCAACGTAGAAAAAAAACGTGCGCCAGCCAGAGCATCCAGAGATTCGTCCATCCGGGGAAGTGGATACGCGTCGGCCACGGAGATCTTATTAAGGCGGCGAAAATCCACACAGAATCGCAAGGACCCATCGTGCTTTTTGACAAGCACTATGGGTGCTCCCCATGGACTGGTGGAAGGGGCTATAATGTCTGCAGCCAGCATGTCATCCACTGCCAATTTGACATGATCTTTTTCGGCCGGACTTAACCGAAAAGGATTCTGGCGTACCGGGGCATTGTCACCCGTGTCAATGTGGTGACGCAACAATTTCGTGCACCCAATGTCATATTTGTGTTTACTAAAAACATCGGAAAATTCCGTCAGAAGGGTGCGTAGGCCGGCACGCTGGGAGTCGGACAGATCACTCGTGCCCGAACATAGTGTGTCCATCCAACTATCGTCCCCCTCAGAATGCGGTTGAGCCAGAGGATCGGTCCCCACATTACCCATAACCGTGTCTACCACGGGGACCGGTGTCGCGTGCGCGAGCACAGTTCCCTGAGGAACGACGGCCGTCTGTACGCCAACGTTAAGGACGAGGATAAACGGGTCATCGCTCCCCTTAACGAGCGTTTGAGCGGCCACCAGATCCAGCCCGTTTTCCCCAGCCCTCGAGGGCCCTAACAGAATTCCCTGGTCCAGAACACCGGGCACGAAAGGCCGACGCAAGCGAAGGGGCACGAGCATTTGCGCCCCGGGAGGTACACGCACCGTCCGAGTGACGAACGCTTGTATCGACGCGCACGCTGCCCTTGAGGTGACAGGGGAAGGCAGGAATGTTACCCGTCGGCCCGAGGGAAGCTCGATGCAACCCTGATCAATTAGAATTTTAATCGGCATTTTGCCCAAAAAGTCCGTCCCCAACAAGCACGGAACCGCCAGCGAGGACGAGACTAATATCGGCCCGGAGAGTTTGATATCGCCAATGCAAATTTGTGCTCGAATTTGGCCTATGATACCCAGCGAACCCCCGTTCGCTGCGTAACACGGAACGGTGACTGGGAGCAAGGGGCGGCTTTGAACGGGAAGAATATTATAAATCAAGTCTGACACAATGGTCGCCGAAGCTCCCGTATCGACGAGGATACGCACCTCGACCCCGTCAATGTGACCCGCGACCACGGACGAGCCTGCCGACGCAGCAACAATGCGGTGGGCCAATTCCGTCCACTGCCCCGGCCCGAGCACCCTCTCGACCCCACCGCCACCCAACAAACCAATGGGCGTACCCCGAGGCCCGTACACCGAAACGCGCGAGGTGGGGACAGGTGTGTGCACAGGCCGAGCATGTGGGGTGCCGCGACTTGCCGGGTTGCGATGCGGAGGCCTGTAGGCTGGAGCGCCGTCCGACCGTCCCGGCTGTCGTTGACGAGGCGCCCGGCATTCCGCAGCCACGTGGCCCTTGCGGCCACAGTTGTAGCACGTGATGAGCGCCTTGGGGTGCTCCTGGCGATCCGGTGTGGTCCGAGCCGGCCTCCATCTGGATCTCCACTCCACCGGGCGACCCGCCGCGAAGACCTCCTCGGAGGGGGGGATGGTCGGCGTCCCAGCGCACACCGCAGCTGCGCCCTTGGGGACGAGAGGTGATCGACGCTGCGCTATCAGGTGCGCGTGGATGTGTCTTGCTGCCCGCAAGGAGCACATGTCCGCGTCGTCCTCTGCGACGATGACGATCTGTAGCTCCTGGGCCAACGCCAGGAGCTTCTCCGTCACCATCGCGTCCACCCCTTCGCCGTCCATCCGCGGGAAAGCCGCTTTTGCGAGGGCCAGGAGAGCCGTGCGATACGCCAGCGGTGGCTCCTTCTGGCCCCTGCACCGCTCGTGGAAGAGTTTGCGGCAGTCCGACGATGGCCCGTAGACTATGGTGAGGACCTGGAGCGCCGACTGTAGCGTAGATCGCGTTGATCTGGGAGCTGTGATGAGCGTAGCAAGGGCGTCATCGTCCAGCATGGCCGGTAGCGCACTCAACGCCTCGTTGTCCGTCCAGCCGGCCATCTCTTGATGAGCGAGAAAGCGGCGTTGAAAGGCCCCCCAGTCGCCGCCGTCTGAAACGAACTCCTTCAACACCGGCAGGCGTTGTTGAAACGATGGCTTCGTCTCTGAGAGGTGCCGCGCGCCATTTCCGGCCTCTCCACCGGTGTCTGTGGGGCTGGGGACACCCATCGGCGGTCGCGCAGGTGATGACGATGCGCCCGCCGATTGGTCCTGACAGCGGGCGTCCGTTGGTGATGACGTCACCACCGCTGATTGGCCCACAGCGTCCACGTGGCGCTGCGACCCTCCAATCGCCGTGGCGGACACTGTCATGGCGGCAAATCCGAAATCTGGTGGCTGTGTTTCGGCGGGAATGGCCGTTGAACGGCGTTCGTCTCTCTGCCGCCTTTGCGCCCGCAGCCCCGCGCGGTTGATTTCCTCCAGCGTGGAAGCCGCGGCATACAGCAGCTCAGCCAGTCGAGAGTGAGCCGCCTGCAACCCGTCCTCCATCGGCGGCCACTCCTCCAGCGGCGGCTGCTGTTGGGGCGTCTGGGACATCCCAGGATCGTCGGCCGCGGCCTCTGGCGCAATCCCAGGCGAGCCGTCCTCCTCCTGGGGTTCCTGTGATCGGTTTGTACTCCTTGTGTCCATTTTAAGACCACTCCTGACACCAGTTGTAGTGGGTTCCAGGACACGGAGACGGCAGAATAGAAGCAGCACTATTTATTTAAACCTTAACAAGGGTTACACTAGAAGGGGTAGCGGCCCCTCCACCCGTATAACTCAGGAACACACCCCAGGCTCTCTAGCCTAAGCTCTAGGCTCCCAGTTCCTCCTGGTAGGGCTCTAAGGGAGGCTATCAGATCCGGCCCTGGTTAGGCACAGATCTCGGCACCCCGCCGACCAGACCGGCCCTTAGAAGGACTCTGACTCTGGGGCTCTGGGGCCGCACCACTGGCTTGCTGTGCCGGCCCTGAAAAGGGCAGCGGTCACAGGAGTTCCAGGGTCTCACCTAGCTGGCCTTCTTTCTTCACTGGTTGCTTCAGCCTCGGGCCCCACACTCTGCCCCCAGCTCCCTGGCTCCCCGCACTTTATACCCACTGGAGCCTTAGCGGACGTTGTTGTAGCCACCAAGGTGTGGGTGAACCACACCTTCCCGTGTCATGTGTTTATTCCCCATAGCACCCCTACAATTACATGCAGCATCATCGGGCAATTTGCCAGAATGGTGAGGCCTTCCACTTGCTCCCGGTCTTAAATAGAGCAGCAGCAGGATGACGTCATCATTTAATTCATTCAGGTGCAGTGATTTGAGGCGGAGAGGGGTATTGTAATTATATAATCGATTGGTAATCATTCAATTGTTATTCATTGGTATTTGTTTCCCTTATAAAGAATTGTGATTGTATTACATTAATATTTTTCTTTATTTAATAATACGCTTCCAGGCCGCACTAAGCCTGTAGCTGTCAAACTGACAGTGATTCCACTCTGTTCCTGCACGTAAACAGAATCACACGCGAGCACAACGGAGACGCACCAGACAGGCCTCTGTGTGGTTTCTCAGAATTTTCTTCTCCTCCACTGTCAGATTGTTGCCTTCCATTGCAGCCGCAATGTTTTTATCTTTGGATTTCACTTCCGTCACCTGCACACTCCACACACACGCGCGCACACGCACGCACACAACTTTCGTTCGAATGCAATTGTAAAGAATTCGGGTGAGAGCCTGCGGAGATTCACAATGCATTTTACAAGGTCATAAGCATGTTTGTCATGACGACAAAAGTGGTAAGGCCATTTATGCTTCCCCTCCAATGAATGCTTCTCGCGACGAGCGGTTGATTGTGGGCGACCGGTAAGGAGGAATGAAGCACACATCAGCAGCAATGTGGACAGTTGAAATATGAATTTCCGAAAACCATATCCACACCTTGAATGCCAAAAATCATAACGAGATCCCATACATCAAACAGGCTGTGTGTATGTCATGTCTCATCAGCCACATTCCCATATCAGGGCAATGCATTGTTGTTTCGATGTAGCCGTTTCCACCCAATTGTAAACGTCGCAAAAATTCAAACCTAACTTGTTTTTCCTCCCCCAAAATATAACAAACAAAACTAGGAGCAGTTTCGCTGCTCTTCTAATGTGCATTTGCACAAGGGTGCCACCACCTTTGATCGCGGTACGTTTCATCTCGTCGCAACATCTGGGAAAAAAAAATTCTGCACAAGCGCCAGGCTCACGCCCCATTCATTGTGCAATTTTTTTCCGACTTAAATCCGACTGGGGCCTCATTATTTTAGCTGTGAAGGCCGACTGAGCAGAGCAGCTCACTTTACAAGGACAACCACAGCTGAAGACCATCGGCAGTGGCCGCAACAGAAATTTCTGCAAACAGAGCAAACAACAAACAGTGCTTACGTACAAATCAAAAACAGTGTCAACAAATCCTGTCACAGATATATGAAAAAGAAGTGAATACCTCAGTGGGCTTTGCCTGGTAGGATGGGGATGGTTTAGTTTTATTTGTTTGTATTTGGGCTATTTATTTACCTTTCTTGTACGATGAACTACTATCACGTGTCTTTGTACTGTTTGTTGCTGTAACGTCTTTACCCGCCCCTACTGGACATCTGTAAAAGAAAAGAGCTTCATAGCTCATCGGATTTCTCCATTATAAATATTTTCATTAAACAGACTCAGATATAATGCAGCTGAGTGACAGCATTCAGCAATTGCCGAAGACATCCTGCAGCATGGCCAGAAAATGTTACGAAATGATCACAAGTCTCTCTACTCTTTGGTCAGAGTGCACCAAGTAATAATCCAAGTGACGTTGAGCAGCTTGAGCTGGATCGAGGAGGAAGGCAGGTTACTGTAACAGACACTAAAGTTGTCACCCAGAGGTGAGCGATGAACGGGGAGACCCACGCCCAGTTGGTGGCATAATATTGTAAATAAGACTTGGAGGGTCAGGCATTGACTGTGTTGCAGGATCTGGCAGAATGGTGAGATACAGAATCAACAGCATTGACCGTGACAGTGGGTTTGTGAGATGTGGTGGTAGCAACGGCATTGACTGTTTGTAAAAGGTTTATGGGGGTTTTTTTTGTAATTATTTTAAAATACAGTAAAACCTTGGATTGCGAGCATAATTCGTTCCGGAAACGTGTTTGTAATCCAAAGCACTCGTATATCAAAGCACTCGTAATATCAGTTGTGATCACGTGACGCTGGGCAGTACAAAGCGTATACGTGCACTACTCGTATTGCAAGACCTCGCTCGTTTATCAAGTTAATATTTATTTAAAAAATTTTGCTCGTCTTGCAAAACACTCGCAGACCAATTTACTCGCAATCCAAGGTTTTTACTGTATTGCATTTCACCTATGACATTACGCACACAGCCGTATGATGACTGGGCTTCATCAGTGAGAAGCGGGAGATGAGGGGACCCCAAGTTTTTCTAACAGAGTACCCAAAAGGAAATGTCTCATGACTTGGTGCCGGTTGCAGAGAGATTAAGAAAAAAATATTCAGACATTGAAACAACACCAAATGTTATATTTTAAATGATGTCACCTTTTCTGCTGGCTCCACCGCTTTGGCTGCATGCTCAATACCTATTGGGCGGCCACAGCACCTCACCCGTAACATCACCACAGCCAGGAGTCTCATGCGCCAGTCACTTGAGGGCCAGGGGCTGCATAAGAAAATATTGTTCCTCTGCGTCGCCTCCACCCCCAAAGGAAGGCAAACGACACGGTCTGCGAAGACAAAAATAAAACCAAATTAAACTCGCACGCACGGCAACGGTAGACTTCAACTGAAGAGACGGGATATTACCAAAACAAATAGGTCGCTTTTGTAAGTTAAGATTCATCCTGGTATCTTGTTTGAGTTCTAAACCTGGTGAAAGAAAATAACACTTGAAACTGGTGACACGGCTCCTTGAAACGGCACAAAAGAGGGTGAGAGGTGGCTTCGGGTCTAAAGCAATGCCCTGTGTATGAGAGATAAGCGAGCGATGGTGAGGTCCCGAATTAAAATCACAGTTCCCAGCTGGAGACCAAAAAAACCCGTGTTCTCAAGCACAGCGTTTGATAGTCACAAACTGCACACACCAAAGCATGCGTACAGTCCAACCCATTTCCTTCGGCACTCACTGCTGTCACGACAAATTCTGAGGGCCCATTTGACTTTGCACAACTTTAAACTGATACGAGTTGCTTCAAGGAAGAAGCGTGACAGGCTTTATACTTGAAGACACAAACCTGCACTCTGTGTTCTGGGCTTTCTGACCTTTGCCACGTTTGAACCTTTGCTAATGAGGAACACAACCAAATTATCCGTGCCATGATAGCACTATAGTTACGTTTAACACGAAGGCTTTCGTGACCAATATTATCCACATATTTAAGAACGAAAGAGGAGGATGTCTCCACGTATCTGGCTGTCGCCTGATGAGGCTGGTGGTAATTACTGGCGAAACGTCGTACTGCAATGGCAAATGTTGTGGGTTTACTCACCAACGAGTCGCCCGCGAGGTGAGTGGTGAGTCGCTCGCGAGGTGAGTGAGGGGTGAGTCGCTCGCGAGGTGAGTGAGGGGTGAGTCGCCCGCGAGGTGAGGGTGAGGGGTGAGTC